CTCTGCATTCTCTTTTATGAGCTGGGATTAGACCCCCTGAATTCTGAGGGGAGTAGATGAGACGACACGTGGAGGGTGCTTAGCATGGCACCCGGCAATGAGTGAACAACCAGTCAGCACCTGAGAGTTACTGTCACTGTCATCACCGTCCTCATTACTTAATGGGACGGTGATGAACTTTAAGAAGAAAGGGGCGGAGGCCTAAGAGCCTAGAAAAAAGAGACAGAAGGAGCGATGAGAGGTGGACCTGTGGCAGCTTGGTGGTTCCTAGGGACTGCACCAAAGATAAAAAGACAGAATAAACAGAAACCCAGAGACACCAGTTCTGCAGCAGGAGAGACCCACGGTCCTGCTGCAGCTCCCGCGCGGACAGCTCTGAGCGCTGCTGGTACTTCCGCAGCACTTGGCGGGGGGTGTCTTGGCAGTGGGGACATCCCAGGCGCTGTATGCGGACAAGTCGGAGGTCAGTGAGCGCTCCTAAGCTTTGTTACAGCTGTGCAGCTCCCCTCTCCCTGCTAGTATGCGTTTATGTGTCTGTCTCCTTCATCAGGCAGATGTCCAAGGTCACGACCATGTCTTAATTATTCCTCTCTACGGTCTCTCCGGCACAGGTCAGGCACGTAGTGGGTCCACAAAAGATGCTGAGAGATGAATTCTCTTAGAAACCTCTTTTCATAAAGAGATGTGGGGGGGTTTTTAAGGAAGGGAGGTCTCCTCCACCTCAGGTCCTAGGTCACCAGCACGGACAGTGACATCTTTAGCACATTATCAACATAAAAATGTTCATCTAGCCAACATAGATGATTTAAAACTATGTTCAGCGTATGCTTCCTAAAAAGACAGAAAGGGAGCAACACAGGATACTATACCAGCGTAATGGAGTTTTGAAAGCATTTGGTGCTTGTATGGTTGGCCCTAATCTGCTCCAGAAAACTGTGCTATTTATTTACTTCGACAGTCATTTTTGGGGTAACCTGTGTAGCGCTCAGTGTTCCACCTGGGCCCAGGGACTGCAGAATGGTGAGCCGGCCAGACCTCGATGTGCACTTCCCGACTGTCAGCTAGAATCCAGAGACGTTTAGCAATGCTTCTAAAACTCAGCCACCTGAAAAATCAAGCGTTTGCTTTTTGGTTTTTTGCTGAAATTTATATCTTTGATAAGCTTTCCGTGACAAAGAACGATTTCAGGATAATGTCCTCAGAGGACCAAACAAACTGAAGTTATAAATATCATTTTCAGGTAGCACAAATCAACACCCCTGAGTTTTCAAAAAAAGCAAACCAAACAGCACCTCAGCTCTCCTGCTGCTCTCAAGAAACGCACGAGACCTTGGGGAACGTCATCGATTTTGCAGAGCTCAGCCCAAACGCGCATTCTCTGCAATCATCTACTTAGAGAAAGCAGAATGGACGAAGCTGAGAGAACAGATCCAGGAGGACAAAGCGATGTCACGTGAGGCACGGCCACCCCTCCCTACTGTACCGTCCTTTCTCCTGATGGGTTTGCTCATGACTCTGCACTGGGGAGTCTTCCCACGCCTACCATCATTTTGGTGACGTTCAGTTGGGCTTGAAACAACAAAAACAAAGAGACGGCAAGAAGCCCTTCCCTAGCCTTGATGTTCACCTTCAGCCCCTGAAAAGCTATTAAGGAACATGCAAGCTGTTATGACCTGGCAAATGTTACCCAAATTTGCAGTCTACTCTAAAATAATGATTGGAAATCAGCCCAACGTTCCCCACGTGAAGTAGCATAATGAGCGGACATGGTGTTCCTTCCTGCTTGCCCGGCAAAGCGCACTGAGAGACAGAGACCAGAGCGACAGGCTTGGCAGGATTGGACAACACAGGCAGGAGCAACATGCCCGGGGCCACCGACGGGTGACCGCAGTGCAGCCTCCGGAAGCACCAGCCAGCACCTCCTGGCGCTGATGCCTTCCAGCAGGTCCACATTCAGTCCAGTCTGACATGGGAAGGTTTCCAGGCTTCATCTGGACAGAGACCTAATGCATGGCTTGATGGTCAACTCTTCCATTAGAGAAAGATACGGCAGAAATGCATATCTTTGGGATCGGATCACGTTCTGTTTGGACAAGGTCTTTGCCCAGCCGTCATCTCTGTGGGACCTCTAGTGGGGTCCAGGCTGAGGCGGTCCTGGTCCTGAATATGACAAAGGTGCATCTGGCAAGCCACTCAGCACTCCTGCACCTGGGAGGACGTCACTCCACCGTGACCCCCATTATTACATCAAGCCATGACCACCCTAGGAACAGTTCTGCAAAGTAAAAATGGCATACATTTTCTAATTCCAAGATGTCCCTGAACATTTGTAAGAATTTTTAGGATTCAAATTCAAATCCGCATTTGTAAAATCACGTTCTGAACCCAGCCTCCCCCTGTTCATCAGCATTTTCAGGCCATATTTTTTATCTGCTTCTTTTCTCTTTTGAGAAAGGCAAAAATTCACAAGGCAATGTCCAGTGGACCTCAGGACGATGCTATTGGCAGTTTAAAAGCATCAGAGCATGATTAAAATTTTTCGTAAAAAATTGTACTTCTCATAAATTAGTAATTATCCCATTAATTTTCTACAACAAAGATGAATTAAGATTCTTAGTGTATTGATTCTGTTGAGTTCTTCCTCTGGTCCAGAATTCTTTAAGACTCACTAATGTCTCTAGGGTAAAGCCTGAGTTACCTAGACTTCCAAGCTAGATATGTTCTCAGGGACCACTGAGGTCAAGCTTCTTAATTTTACAAACAAGAATACGGAAGACTGAGGAGTTTAGGCCACTCAGGGTCCCCCAGGACCCAGACCCACTGACCCACTGACTCGCTGACCCACTGCTGCCTCCTCCTCCTGCCCCCGGGTAACACGCATCCTCCTCACCACATTGGGCGGGGGGTCTCACAGACCACCCTGTCCCTCCATGTTCAGCTCACATGCCCACCTCTCCACTTAAGCCTTAATTTTTCCAGGAAGAAGCCTCCACACCATTTCATGCCTTCCTTCAATTTTCTCTCCTTCCTAAACTCTTACTTACAGAGCTAATTATTTGGTGTTTCCCGGCATCGCTCTCTAAATGGACACTAAGTTCTTCGAGGGCAGAAACCATCTCCTGTACTTGTCTTCTCTGTTATGTTGGAGGCCCCACCAGGCACAGAGCAGGAACTCAATAAACCTTCTTCAAAACAGCAAGCAGCAGGCTGGCTTCGTCTTCCCGCCTCTGCACTTGCTACCCGCTGCCTAGAAGGTGCTCTCCCTCCTCACCTCGCCTGGCTAACTTCCGGTTTGCACGGGCTTTCCCTCCCCAAACACCTCAGAGCACTTGACAGTCCCGTTCACAGCCTTCACGTAGGGCAGAATATTCGAATTCCTAAGTGCCAGTCTATTAGTTCCTTAGTCTAGAGAGCAAACTCCTGGGGAGACACAGGTTGTGTGGTTCTTGCTTCCTCCTGCATCCCTAGCTCCCACGGCGCGCAGCTCAGGACGTATGCTCAGTAAGCAAACACGGGGAGAATGCCTCCAAGGAGGAAGGTTTTGAATTCCTCTTGGAAATCAAAGCTTTCCATCCGCATCTCCAGTCTCAGCCGGCCTCCCGCAGGTGGACTGCTCTAGCCAGTCTAGCCTCTGGCTACTAGCCCCTGAACATACCTGCACATTCCAACCCTAACTGCCTCTGCTCACACTCTGAGCTTAGACAGAAAGCCTCCCCACTCATCTCTGCCTGTCACTCCCACTCTACTCATCCTTCAAGGCCCAGAGCGAGTCCGATCACCACTCAGAAACCTCGCTCCAGGCCACACAGATCTTCGCCTTCTCCAGATTCGTCGGCCTGTGTCCATATGGCCCATTCATCACCTATCCACGCGGCTGCCAGTCCGCAGTGGTCTTCCCATCTCAGCGCACCCTGGCCTGCGGGCATCGCCTTCCCTCTGGCGTCAGCACTTCCCACTCCACTTAGGATATGATTCCATGCATAGTCCTGGGGCATCTTCTGCACTGTGGTTTTATGTTAACTTCTGTGCATTTTGGTCTTGGTGTCCTAGTTCATTTATACATTTTTCAAGGCAAGCCATGCTTTCAGTGTCTTTGATCCTGTG